TTTCCCTAGTTTGTAGTTCAGTTAACACCATTTTATTCCATTGCTGTTCATCCCCAGCTGTCACATGAGCTTCTGCAGTTCAGGTGGGTATGTGTATGTTGGTGTGCCATTACTCCCTAAGAAGGCAAGTTTCTTCTGTAAAACCTGGGAAGGAACAGCTCTTCCAGGCTGTACAGGTGCTGTTTGTGTTGCTGCTGGAGCTGCAGTTAATTTGTTCATTCCCTGGCTGTTGTATTCTTTTCAAAAGGCAACATCTTCAGAAGCTAACTGAGGCTGTCCTAATAAAATAAGATCCAGGGGAGTGTGTTTTTTTTTCACTTTGCTTTTTGTGTCAGGAGGAGCAGATATTGTACTTAGAGCAGTGTGCTGCTTCCTGTGTTGAAAACTGCACTGCAAGAAGGATCTGTAGCCAAATCCCTGTGAAAGGAAGACAAAACACCACTTGGTTGCCTGCTTCAGTGTGGGGATTTTTGTAGCAAAGTCAGGAAATGTTACAGTAGCTTAGGAAAAATAGCAGGGCCTATCAAGGAGAAAATAACCATACTTGCAGCATTAGAGCAGATGCTAAAATTGATTCAAGTTTTAAGATCTATTTGTGTGAAATTGTAACAAAACAAGAGCTGATATTGCTGCTGGCACTGGATTATTTCCTGTTAAACCAAGGCCTAATTCCATTTGGGTTTTTTTACAATATCAAGAAGAATGTTAACAGTATACTGTTAAAATCTACTTCTGTAATGACTTCTTTTAGTGGATATACTGGTTTATCACCCAAGGCAGAAGTTATGCACCTAGGAAGATGGAATACAGCCTAAATCTATGCATGACGTTTTGGAAAGGAGTCACAGCATATTAATAGCTGAGTGTGATTTTAAGTTAAAGGCTGGGAGGGAGGGGGGAAGGTGTGGGACCGTTTCACTAAGTAGGAAAGAATTAGGAGCAGAGACAAATGGATAGTATTCTTGAGACGGGTAATGGAACACTGTTGTGCTGTTTGCAGTTTTGGGGTTTGGGTGTTTTGTTTTTTTTTTGTAAGCGTGTTCAGAGAGAGTGTGGGAAAAGGGCATGAGGTGTCTTGCAGGCTGGATGAGATGCTTGAAAGAAAGAGACTTCTAGAGATCAGGCTGTTTGTCTTATCAGGAGATTAAGATATGGTTTATTCTAGCATATGAATAAATTTGAAATAAGGGAAGTGATAGAATTTTCTTTAATCTTGAGAAGACAGAAGAAGAGCTAAGGCTTGCCAGTGGAGCAAATACTAGCCCTAGTGTGCCATTGAAGCGTATAGAATGGATTTCCCTTGTTTGAGGTATTCCGTTTCAAGCTGGACACGTGTCTGTGATGTATGCTTAGCCCAAGAAGTTGCTGAGCGTGCTAACAGGAAAATAAGGAAAACAGTGAACTGCAGTATATAGGAAGCTAGTAAATCTGGTTGCATTTTTTTGGTCTGAACTGAAACAATGGAACTGCTATCACTTTTGCTCAGACTCACCTTCAAACTCACAGGAGGAGTATTTAGTCAGGATTGTCAGCCTAACAAGTATCAGAAATTTTCCAGTCGTGAGGTTTTATTTAATTCATATCTGATATCCTGTTGTATGATGACTCTTGAGAGAATTCAAGGTTTATTTGCTGGTTTTTGTTTGGTTGGGTTTTTTTGGACTTTTTTTTTCTGTTAAGAATAGATGTTATTTTTCAGCAATTCTTTGATCTGTTAGACATGTTGGGGAAAAAAATATAAAACAAACAAATGAAAACCCAACTAAAATGTTTATGTAGATATGACTTTGGGAAGAGTCTGAACAGGGCTAAAAGTTGTATAATGTATAGCTGTAACAGTTAAGTCCTTTGCAGAACAAAGAAGATTGTTCTTCTAGCTCTGTGCATTTTTCTAAATCCAAGCTTGTGGAATAGTGTTTTGTGCCTTTTCAATGAAGTTCAGTGCATAGCTGCATACTGTAATTCTTGCAAGTATTTAATGTAAAACTCCATATTGTTTTGCAGGTGATTTTTCTGACCACACTATTCTACCTGTTGAGTTCCAGTGACGAGTACTACAAGCCAGTGAAGTGGGTGATAAGCCTGACACCTCTGTCTCAGCCAGGTCCCTCCTCAAATATAGTTGGCCAGTCTGTGGAGGAAGCAATAAGGTAAGTTGTTGATTTTTTTTTTTTTCCCTTTCTGGAAAATTCTTTTGTAAATTTAATGTTCAACTACAAATACTTAGCAATAGCAACAGCTTCTGTTTCAAAGGTAAGTTGGAAATGTCATAGATTTTCAAGAACCTAGCATGGATGATTTTTTCCTGCTTGATTGTTGAAAGAACAATTTGATTAAACTTGCCTAAAAAAAAAAGTCAGAGGTCTGTGCTCTAGTGAATACTTGTGTTTTATAAAACTGATATGCACATGACATCCTATCGAGAAGCAGTGTGTTTGCAGCAACGATGGCATTAACAGCTAGCGCAGCTCAGTAGGAGCAGATTTGTAGAGCAGAACAGTTGAAGTGGAGGACCTGACATCTGTGCTGTACACATTTCAGAGTTACTTGGTTTGAACTATTTTCAGTCTAATCTTGGGGACTAAGTACCCATTTGCAGCTGGAGTGTGTTAGATATGCGCCTGGAGTGCATTTTCCAGTTCGGTTTCATCTGAGAGAAATCTAATTCATGATCTCCATGAACCAAATTGTACCAAAGGGAACAACAGGGGAGCCACTCTCCTTATCCCACTTAAAACACGACTCACTGCACCCCCAGAGAGCATCCACAGTGTTTCATGCTTAGTTACTGTTCTTATGTTTTACCTTCAGACTGCTACCGTCATCAGAGGAGGGGTTTGTGTTTATAAATATGGTTCACTGAGATTTCACAGTAAAGCAGGTTTTGAGGTGGTACAGTAACATATTTCAGTCATCACAGATGAATGAAACTGTCATCCTTCACCTTTAGCAGCTTGAAACACTAACACGTTGGTAATGTAATAAATGAATTTTAAATAAGGTGTTCAAGTCATGGCTCACTTTTTCAAATAGTTGATGGACAGAGCAAAGTTAAGAGACTCCGTGATAAATTCCTTACAGCTTTTGTCTATTACACCTCTGCTTTCCATGCCATGTTGTGCATTCTTACAAAATGTGAATAGACCTTAAACCAGCCACGTATTAAAACTGCTTTCCAAACTCATTGCCAAATGTTTACCATTGTTTACCATTGTTCTTAGGTGTACATTACAAGTGAGCATTTTTACCTGTTACTGGAATTAAGCTATTTCTGGGTACATTTTAACAGTGAGGAGGTTATATCATGCTGTCCAAGATCTTGAACAGCAATGGTAGCTGCTGTAGTTACTTGAAATGAAGGTTCAATCCAGGTAGAAAGCAACAAATTTGGAATTCTCCCAAAAAGTTAATAGCCCTTCTCTTGAGCGACTGTTATTAAGTTTTCATTGATCACATAGCTAACAACTCACTCCTGTCTCTTCTGAAGAGTGCAAGCAGATGTAGACACTAAAACTTGTCTCAAGTTGTTCTCTGTAGCCCTTGGTAGAGGGGAGCATTGTCAAAAAGGAGGATATGGCTTCTCTGGGCATGGATCCTCTGCAAGGAGGATTGTATTAAATGCCATTTTAAGTTTATAGGTCTGTGACACGGGTGACCCAAGATATTTGTCAGAGTTTAGAATGGTGGAAAGAAAGAAAACGATGTTAGAGAAGCCACAAAAAAACGAGTGGAAAACGAGTAGGAAAGAGGCAGCATGCATCAGTAACTGCAAATATGATGAAAAGAAGCCAGTGTCTGGAGAACGTGTCATGTGAAGCTGCCTGTCATTCACAAGGGAACTCGGTTTGCGTCTTCATGTTTGTTTCTTTGGAGTAGCCTGTACTTGGTGACTTATTTGAATTCTTTGGAATGCTTCTCCTGAGATTCGCAGAAGTTCAGAAGTGATAGGATGGGAGGAAGAGGCTCCATTTGTAATATGAGTTATCAAATAGTGAAAATTCTATAGTCACTTTCATCATTAGACTGGCACAGCATTACACGACATGAATGTGGCCTCAGAATACTCACTTCCTCAAGTTCACCAGAAATATAGGAACATCAGGTTATAAATCTTCAGAGTCACCAGTTGTGTCAGCAGGACATAGCACATGCATAAAGCTAAGAGTTCATCTAACTAGTCCTGTCTGGAGGGTGAGGATCCTCCTGGCAAGAAATGGAGTTACATCTCTGTTGCTTAAGAAACAAATTACTTGGAAATACTCTTCCTCCATGTTGTCAGGCACCTCCGTTGCTCTTTTATTTAAAATGCGTTTCTGAAAACCACTCAGGAACTTGGATACAATGAAGGAAGTGTGTTCCTTTGTGTCCTTTGCCAATTACTTGTGAGGAGAAAGGCAAGGAGGAAAGAAGAGGAAGGCAATCAACAAATGCTTTCTTAACTTGACTTTGTTCTCCAGCAAGCACCTAATCAAACCTAGACCATCTCCCATTGCAGTTTCTCTGATCCAGGCTGTGTTTTGACTTTTATTGTCTGGACTGTAAGTAGCTATAGATTTTATAAATATTTTTTTAACTCCCTTTGTGATGTGTTTGCAAAGACAGTGACAGTTCTCTGTCCCTGCAGATTGATTGATGAGGTGTACTGGGATAAGAACAGCTTTCCCATTTTAAGCCAAGTTGTGAAACAGACCATTTGTATCACAGTACCTCAGATGTTAAGTTTGCTTGTAGTGGGAGAAGAGAAGGTGCAGTAGAGGTGACACTGTAGGAGTTTTAAATAAGTTGAAGGGAATTGAAGAGTTACCTGCTGCATGCCATGGGATAAAATGCCTGCCTAGCCTAGATAGGAAATCTGTTCATCCTGAACAAAAGGGAGGTGAAATGCAAGCAGCACGTATCAGGTGGTGGGAACCAGTAGGGGTTCTTCAAGGGCAAGTCATGCCATGCCATGCCTGGCCCAAGAGCTTGCTTGGCTAGCTTTGTGGTACCAGGGCAGAGTGGTGAATGACAGAAAATGGCTTAAAGGCACACAAAGGACAAAGTGACGTCAGGGAACTCAAAGGACATCTTCAGCAAGGACATACTGTGCCACGACCAACATCTCCTTGCTTTGGGGAGGTGACTGTCCTAGCAGGATAAGGGAAGTGACTTAGATAAACTTCAGCAAGGCCTGTGACACAGCCTCTGATGGTATCCAGGTGGGTGAAGTGTGGACAGGAGTATAGAACTACATAGTAGAAGGGCCTCTGCCTTGTTCTCAACAGGACCAATCCCACCCACAGGGCAGCTGTTAGCAGTGGTGTGCCTCAGGTCAGTGGTGGGGCTGATGCTCGTGATGGGCTGATGCAAGGGTGTGGATGGCAGTGGGACAGGCCATCTTCAGCAAGATTGTCAGTGTCCTTTCCCATCTGGAGAAGGCAGAACAGCTCACATTCAAAGAACCACAGAACCACAGAGCTCGTGGTTTGGAAGTCTCTAGTCCAAGCTCCTGATAAGAGCAGCTCCAGTTTGATCTCATGGCTCAGGGCTTTGTTTAGTCATGTTTGGATACCCTGAAGGATAGAGGCTCCACAACCCCTTTGGGCCCCTGTGCTGTGTCTGAGCAGCTTCACAATGACAATACTTTCCTTTTATCTAGCTGGGTTTTCTCCTGGGCCTAGTGCTGGTCATTCAACTCTAGTTACCAGTCAGGTCTGCCCCTGGGCATTCTCCTGATGCAGACCAGAAGCAGGTCCCTCTCCCTGCTGTTGTGTGCCACTCATCATCTCAGGCTTTGGACTAGCCTACAACAAAACTCCCCTGGACTGTAGAGACCAGGAGGGAACAGAGTGGTCTAGGTGAAGTTGCTAAAGTGACAATAAGAGAAGGGGGGAATTTTTACCTTTTTTTTTTTAAAAAAATAAATTATTATTGTTTTTTTGGTGGTTTTTTAATGGTTTATTGCCCAGTCTTGAAAAAAACTCTGAATGAAACAGCTAGAAGGGACCTTAAGGATCAAGTCCAGCACTTACTCCTGTCAGAACTGTAGTCTTCTGCTTTTCCAAACCAACAACTGTCTAATGTCTTTGTTCAATCTGCTGCTGCTCCTTATACATTGCCATGGAGTATTTGGCTTCATCTTCAAGAAGCTTTTGCCCTTCTAAGACTTGAAATGCCCAGAGGAGAAGGAGGGATGCAAGAAGTGCCTTTGTTCAGGGTGGAGCTTCTTAGCCTGGAAGCATAACTCAGTCTTCCTAGGCTTCTCCCAGGACAAGGAGGCAAAGGGAAGTGCAAGGGACAGCCTGCTGCTGGTTCAGTGTGTCCACAGGTTGCAAGTGTGACTCTAGTTGTAAGCTGGGAGTTTGCCTTTGCCCTATGCCTTTGATGGACGTGTCTCAGTTCTCACAGGTAAGTCCTGACAACCTCCAAGCAACCCTCCGGAAGGGGACTGGCAGTGTTTGGACTACAGAACAAACTTGGTTCTGCAAAGTGTTCAAAAATCAGTTTTCCCAATTTTGAGTAACTTCCATGCCAAAACCATTCCTGTCATTTTCGAGTGAGTACTTGTGTGTGCTTTGTTGCCATATATTGCCCTTGCTCCTCCTGATCGGTTGCTTCTTGGGGAAGGCAGCATTTAATCTGCAGGGGGAGAGGGAAGATGAGTATTGGTATGATGAGTCTGTAAACAGCCTGTGAGAAAGATCACTACCAGAGACAGTACGTGACCTCAGGGCTTTCCAACTGATGCGTGCACTGCTGGTGCCACTTCAAATAAAGCAACTAGTTCAAAGTTCATAATGCCAAATTCCTTGCTGGAATTTCTTGTCTCATTGCATGTTAATGAGGTGGGAAGTAAAAATTGAGGAAAATGTTAATAATCCTGAATATTGCTAATGCATCAGTAGCAAAGTAGCTTCTGTTGTCTAAGAGTTTTGGACTTTTGTGCCCACTTGGTTTCTTTGGTTTGTAATCAGTCTCGGGTCTTTCTCACACCAGCTTTAATTTTCCTGGTGTGGCCACATTTTGTTGCTGTTTCTTTGTGATTAATGCTTAATTTTCCCGTTGCCTTTTGTCACTCCTGGCGTTCTGTCAATTTATTTTTTAAAAAAAAATTGTAGCTTTTTTTCCCTGTTTTCCACATCACAGAAACAGGGATCAGCACAAAACTGTG